ATAATAAATTTCTAAGTACACCGATACATATACTCAATATCAAAAGACTTTAACGCAGTTGCATGTTTACAACGATTTAGTGTCATTTTGGCATCAATTAAAACATTTTTGTTTCTATAAGGCACTATACAAGTATTTTGATAAATCAGTCGAATGCAGTTAGATAAAATATTAATCACTTTGAGCTTTCCTAATCAGTACTAGAATATATTTTATATGAAGGCACAAATGTTTATGGAATTTTTGAACGTTTATATTTTTCTAGACATCGTATCTACAATAGCAAATTAGACTAGTCTCTAAAAATAATAAAAAAGAATAAAAATATAGGACAAATGTGTGTGACAATGCGAAAATAATGAAATTATTTTTATCATTTTGCAACGCGTGTCAATCATTCTATAAAGCAAGAGAAATACTTTTATTCTCACCACACGCGGTGTAGACTAGCATATTCTTCATATCCTTACAAATAATTACAAAAAGGTAAGAATTTTGTAGAAGCGAATTTTTGTGGCATGGTCGTCATGTTTTGAAAGGATACTCGAATGTATCCTCTCAATGGGTATTTTACACCCTTTTTGGTTTCGATACAATTGCATATTCGCTGTTGTTGAAAACTTTATGCTGTGGACCACCCGCGGTATTACCCGTGGAAGTTGTATCGGAAAGATCCGGCTTTTTCCGGATAATTCCATAACCGAGATGGCTGTCGTCGGCTAGCCTGATAGCGGACATATCTTCGACGAGCTCGTAATTAGACCACGTCGGATTAACAAGATTAGAACTTTCCCCGTGAGAGACGTTGGAATGTATGCTTTGCGAGGAATTCGTATACTTGTACGTAGACTTCTGATTAAGTTTCGTCGCGGATCCAAAGTGTTCTAATTTATCGTAATCCGATTCGTCTGTCTTGGCGACACTTTGTATCGCCGATGGCGTGACAATTGCGTTATCGCTGCATTTACTTTTGCATGAATTTTGGAATGCATCGTGATTCCGTATCGGCATCATAATTTCATATTGCAAATCGTCGTTATCGTTCTCCTTATCTCTTTCGCTAGGTAGACTCGAATTTATTCTTTCTGTATGATGTACGCTATCGATACCGTGCGTCTTCCAAGCGTCATTCCTAATTTCCACTAAATCGTATGAGTGTTTCTCCTCGTTCTCGCGCATAACACTGCTGATACTCTTATGAGATAATTCCGGAGAATTACCTTGACTTATAGTTCTATATTCTCCGCATGTAGGCAAATCTAGAAATTCTGTCGAGTCGAGACATTTTTTCTCGAGCAGATTAGGGAAGACGTATTTTCGTGGTGGTTTGGCGGGCTTGGACTTATTTATCGACCTATTCGATGAGATTGTAGAATCCATACTCGATGACGAAGTCAAGGGCTTCTGAGAACTTTGCGTAGAAAAATCTATATCAATCAAATTGCTAGAATTGTTTGAAGAGGGTGGTAAAGCCGCTCTAGAGCCAGGCTCCATAGATAAGGCTGCCTGGAATTGGGTGTCGTTGCATTCTATGTTTGGATTACTTTCTTCGTCCAACAGTTTCTTCATGGACTTCATTTTGGCATACATACATCGGAAGATCTCCTGTTGGCTACCATGCTCCAGGCGAAAGGATCCCTCGCCGGACTCGCACTTTCTCCCGGCCTCGAAGATGAACTTTCCATCTCTATATCCGTATCTCCTGATATACCTGTATGGCCATGTGAATAGAACAACATCACCGTCCATCAGCTTCATGTCCACGGCGGCAACAACCAAAGTATAGTTTCTTGCTTCCAATCCGCACCGCTTAGACGCATCCGTTTCTACAACTTTCACGGAAAATACACCTTCTCCACTAGTACAATACAGATCGTTATTTTCTTCGATTTGATTCGATACACTGTCCTTGAATGCGACTAATTGAAACGCTGTGATCCAGTGAGTCATCTCAATTTCCGAGTAACAGCCAAAATAGTGTATTCCTGATTTAGTCACTACCTGTGTATGAGATGGACACGTAAAAAAACTGTCATTTTGGAGGCAGTTAACAGTGAAAAATTTGTTTAGATAAAGAAACGACATAGAAACGAATTCGAGGGCAGAGCAAATACGTACAGTAAAGACATGCGACTGATTGCTGGGTGCAATTTTTATACAGGCATCCAGCGTGATGATGCGTGGAGAATGGGACTGCATTATCGCTTCTTCCTGATTGTCATAAATCTCGACGCGTTTGATCCCGTAGTTACTCGTTCTGAAAAGCTGGCAGAATCTCTTGTGCCAGGTTTTCTGAAACAAATGGACACTTATGTTTACTTAACATTTTCCTGTTATATAAATATATATATAGAACAAACATATTTTATCTGTTCTCTTAATTCTTTAGAATCGAATCTTCACTCTAAAAAATGAAAATTGAGCCAGTCTTGAAAAAGAGTAGTTCAATCTTCAATCTTTAAAAGAGATTTCACTTTTCAGAGTAAGATTCACTGTAATAGTTTTGTACTCACTTCTATCAATGTAGATTAAATGTTGAAGAAACTGAGGAGGGCTAAACTGAATAATTATCGAGTTAAATAATGCAAGAGCGACAGAATGTAAAATGCAATTCGTTGCTGCACATTTTAAATGACCGTTTAAAGGGTGTGTTGGCATGTGGCGTGCGTTGTGTACCTGTTGCAGGTCAAGCAGCGGAGGAGGAGTGCGAAAAAAAAGGGAAAAGAGGAACAGCCGTTTACGGATGATGCGTCGCGCGCGATATCGCGATATCGCGTATCGCGTCAACGTGGTGCATCCCACGGAATTTATCTCTGTCGCGAATACCAACCTTGAGCTGGCCTAGCATTCCTTGCGGCGGTAGCAGCAGTATCCCCTGCATGAGAGGCTCCTCGGGCTCCATCGCTGGCGATCGAACATCGGCACGGGTCGGCGCGATGATGGGTCGCCTTCTCGTGACTCGTGGTCGCGGGCCTTTGTTCCGTCCCCGTCCGCTGGGAAAATACGTTTACGACGGAAAAGGGGGAAAAGAGACCCGAACGAGCGACTTTACTTCCACTTTCACTCCGGCCTTCCCGTCTCTTGAATCTGTCGCTCCAACTCTCGAATACTTCCCCCCGGGTACGCGGTCCTCTCGCCTCTTCGCGCGATATCTGACAGCACGTCGAGATTCAGCCCATGGTAACGCAGGACGCTTGACATTTCATGCCAGGCCGCGGAGAGAGAGAGAGAGAGAGAGAGAGAGGGAGAGAAGAGGAGACGAGATATTATAACACTTCGCCAACGTGTGACTATCGCGAACGCGAACGAGAGAATCGTCAAACGAGCCAGTAATACTCCGTATGCCGATACCGCATTGTATACGTATGACGCGTATGACGTTCCGCGTAACGCACAGTGCGACACATGCGCTACGCACCGTGCCGTACTCCCCAAACACCCAATTCGTCACGGCGGACAGGGCGGACTGCGCCGGACACGTCCACGAAATCGACCGTCCCGCACTGCGTACACCAACGCGCGGATAGCCGTGACCGGACTGCACGCGCGCACGCACGATGTCGTTCGAATCGCTGTCCTCAACTCCTCAACGTGGCCGGCAGTGTATGTATATTAGGTGTAGTAAAAAGTCATCGCGTATTTTTAAAAGACATCTATCAGTAAAAACCGCAATTACTTTCTTACCAACAATATAAATATATCTTGATAGAGTAAAGTTTCAGCTTGAAAAATCTCTTTTTTAAATTATACGATACGACAATTTTTAATGGAGTTATGAGCAATTAAAGTCAAAATAATTCTTTTATTTAATCCGCGATAACTCAGTGATCAAAAGTCGTAGGAATATTAAAAAAAAACGATTTTGTAGGGAAAGTATCAAGCTTTCACGATAGGTAATCGAAAATTTTCTCAAATTCGTTTTGGACACGTTACAAATCCACAAAGTGAGAAGAAAATTTTTCGTCTTTTTCAGCTCGTAGTTTTTGGTATGTAAAAATTATCAAACTCATATAAACTTAAAAAATGTGATAAGCTTTTAAAAGTAGAGATTTCAAGCTTTAAAACCCTTTTTTTAAATTTGAATTTCATTCATTATTGACGAAGATATTGTATATATAACTTTGAGCTAAAAAATACGCGATGACTTTTTACTACACCTAATATATGTGCTTCGCGCGGAGCCAAGTATTTGCAACAAATAAATAATAAAGATTAATCTTTCGAGATTTGACCAACAAGTAATTATCTAATAAGGGCGAGAGAGAGAAAGAGAGAGAGAGAGAGAGAGAGAGAGAGAGAGAGAGAGAGAGAGAGAGAGAGAGAGTACAAAATTCTGCGCGGTAATGCGTGGATCAAGAATTCGATTATATTTATTATCAAGTAACTATTTAATATAAGGATGAGAGTAAAATTCGTAGGTAACAAATATTTAATGTATTTGTAAATAAATTTTTATATTTTTCTAACTGAATAAAATGCATAAAGAATTTAAATTAAAAAAAATATATAGGCTGTTTTTAAATTTTCTGCAATGAAGTTTCCGTTTCCACACTTCGATTCTTTATTCCTGATGCGTAAGCATTTATAATAAGAACGCAGACAATAGATGATTCTTATCACTATGCTAACATCGGACGGAGAGAAGTGGTAGACCGCAACGCATTTGTAACTTTTCCGTCTCGCGTTTTGCCTTCCGCTAAGAGATATCGAGTAATTACAGATAATATATAATAAAATTGAGTGATAAAAAAATTCATTTAATCTTGCCTAACTTTTTGTTAACAATATTCTACTTTTTACGTACCACTTCTACTGCATTTAACATTAATTCTGGTAAAGAGTAATGAAATCTTCAAGTTCTTAAAAGACTACTTTATGACTACTTTATAAGTATTTTATGTGTATTATTTACTCTACAGATATTTTTCATATTGCAAAAAAAAATATTAAAAAAGAAATTCTATCTGTAAAAAAAAAAACAATATAAACCGACGAGAAGCAGAACGACATCTTATAAAAATCTTAAGGAAAATAGTGAAAGATTTTGTTCATATATTTGATGTCAGACAGTCAAATCTTTTTACTTTCACAGTTTTTATTCTCTTGCAAATTTATTTTTCGCATAAACAATTTCTTTCTTGCAATAACATTATCTGCACAGTTATACTTAAAATATACATGTACATATATAATTGTATATATTTTTATTAAAATGTAGTTATATAAATTTTAATAGAAACATCTTAAAGTGCATTTATTTAAATATTTAAATCAAGATCACCAATGTCTACAAATAACATTTCTTTTGATCATTAAAAATTAATGATATCCAATAAGAGCACTATTGATTATAAGAAGAAAAATATTTGTTAGAATTATTGAAGGTATATT